AGCCAAGCTTCCTGCCTGCTCTGGCTGGACTTGGCCTCCGCTCAAGGCTACAAAGTTTCAATTATAGAAGATAAATAAATCCCAGATACCTGCTTCATTCCATTCAAGGAGGCACTGAAAAAAAAAAAGGAGAGGCTGGGAGCTTGGGTTGCCGGGGGGTGTGGCCAGTCTGAAAACGGCCATCAGCCCCTAACCCAGGTTGGCCAGGCACCCCAGCGGGACCCCACCACCCTGAAGGGGCTGAGGTCAGCCTGAAAACGGCCCTCAGCCCTCACCCAGGCTGGCCACACCCCAATGGGGTGAGGGTCCCCACTGGGAGGCTTGACCAGCCTGCAAACAGCCATCAGCCCCTCACCCAGACTGGCCAGGCACCCCAGTGGAGACCCCCACCCTGAAGGGGGTTTGGCCAGCCTGAAAACGGCCCTCAGCCCCTCACCCAGGCTGGCCAGGCACCCCAGCGGGAACCCCCACCCTGGTCCGGGACACCATTCAGGGAAAATCCGCTGGCCCCAACCTGTGCACCAGGACTCTATCTATACTAATAAAAGGGTAATATGCTAATTCGACTGGGAGACCTTCCAGGAGACCTTCCAGACGTTATTTTGAACAAAGCTGTGGTGATGGGGCCCTGGTAGAGGCGGTTAGAGGCTAAGAGGGAGGGCAGCTGTGAGCGATCAGGCCAGGATGGGACAGCAGTTGTGGGTGATTAGGCTAATGGGGGGCGGGGCCTTTGGGTGTAAGCAGACCCGCAGGGGGGGCCAGTTGGGTGCGAGCAGGCCATCAGTGGGGGTCAGTTGGAGGTGATCAGGACAGCAGGGGGGTAATTTGGAGTAAGCAGGCCAGCAGGGGGGCAGTTGGGGGCAAGCAGGCCAGCAGGGGGGGACAGTTAGGGGCAAGCAGGCCAGCAGGGGGGGACAGTTGGGGGCAAGCCCACTGGCATGGGGAGCAGTTGGGGGTGATCAGGTTGGCGGGGGGCATTTGGGGGCAAGTAGGCTGGCGGTGGGGTGCAGTTGGGTCGAGCAGGCTGGTAGGCAGAGTTGTTAGTGGCAGAGTGGAAAGGGTGCAGGCCGGGCTGAGGGACACTCCCTCCCCCACCCCCCCCCCACCCCCGCATGCACGAATTTCGTGAACTGGGCCACTAGTGTTTCAGATAATCTTCTACTTATAAAACTCACAGATTTACCAAATCTGTTCCCCATCAAACATGACATTACCAGTCACTTATAGTAGTATCACTTTGCATTTGAAAACAAATAGACTTCGCCCTAGCCAGTTTTGCTCAGTGGATAGAGCTTTGGCCTGTGGACTAACGGGTCCTGGGTTCGATTCTGGTCAAGGGCACATACCTCAGATGCAGGCTGGATCCCTGGCCCTGGTTGGGGTGCATGACCAAGAAAAGAAGGAATAACAGTCATGCCAAAAAAGGCCGAGGCCAAGTGCAGCCTATTCGTTGCACCAACTGCACCCAGTGCGTGCCCAAGGGCAAGGCCATTAAGAAGTTTGTCATGGGAAACATAGTAGAGGCCGCAGCCATTAGGGACATCTCTGAAGTGAGTGTCTTCGACACCAATGTGCTTCCCAAGCTGTACTAGTATGTGAAGCTGCATTACTGTGTGAGCTGTGCCATTCACAGCAAGGTAGTCAGGAATCATTCTCGTGAAGCCCGGAAGGACCAAACATGCCCACCCTGATTTAGACCTGTGGGTGCTGCCCCATGATCTCCACCAAAGCCCATGTAAGGAGCTAAGTCTTTTAAGGAGTGAAGAAAAGTTCTCTGGGGGAAAAATAAATGGAAATTGTACTTCAAAAAAAAAAAAAAAGGAAAGAAAGAAAATTGAGTACGATTTTTCTCTGTAATACACATGCACTGCAGAGAATGAAATTAATTTATGGGAATAACATTTTTGTTTAATTGGGATTTAAAGTTGGTGTTCCCTATCATCAAAATAGACTGCAAAGTTTCCTCTATTAATTCTGGTCTGTAATGAAATTTTACATACTTCATATTTGAAAACGTCTTTTCACACAAGTCCTGTCAAATACTGATATCAATCTATGAGCCTATTATTTTAATTGACTATATATAGCAATAGGTAGGCAATTATAGAAGTCGAATAGTTTCCTCTCCTGATGTTTGCCTTTTAACATGTCCTTACCTTGTAGATTAATTACTTCCAGCTGAAGGTGAGGTGGAACACTCCTCGTTTTCATGATTAAATGGATTTTGAAATACGAAAATTTCCTTTGCGATTGCAACAAGGTCTGAAAAATTGTATAATTTGGACTCAGGAAATATATCTACTGCTAATTTTTGTTGAAATAGAAATAGTACTTCTTTCGTTTGAACTTTTGAAAACTGTGGGAGTATGAAAAGCAGTCTGACATTACTTGCGATTCAAAAATCAGTTGTCATCAAATGACTTTACCATACATACATTTCACATACAAGCACTGTTTTGCTTTGTAGTTTTAGATTGAAGACATTAGACAGTAATACCAAGAATGCAGCAAAAGCTATCTTCCAAAGTAATTCAGTGTCTGATAATTATCTGCAGGTGGTTCTTCAAGTTAAAAAAAATTTCTATCTCAGCCCCAGAGCTCAAAAAATTCACAATAAACCTTCACCACTGACTGCTAAGCCATCAAATAGCTGTGGGGTTGAGCAAATCGGGATAGCTTGTATTTCTGAAAAAAAACCTAAAGTAACCATAGGCTTTAAGTGCTTACATGTGCACAAACTTTGTAAATCTGTCCAACAAAATAAGTTTTTTTCTGTCCCACACATATTTTTACCATCATCAGTTAAAACACACCTTAGTGAATTCTACTTCAGCTTGTCCTGAATTAGTGTTTTCTTAACTTCTTTGAAAATCTTTACACCTGATGTGTTCTACCCATGCTATATTCATAGGGAGCGATTCTGTGTCACTGTACACTCTACATTGATTATTCACATAAAAAATTGAGCAGTACTGGAACATTTGTCACTTTATCAAGAACCAAGAAAACTTACTTTGGTTGCACTTCCTTTTTCATTTTAGTGAAGAATTGCTGGTATGATGAGATTTTTTTTTCCCTTTATTTTTTTCCCTTATTAAATTTCCCTAAAATTTTCTAACTATTAATTTCACTGTGTTGGAAATACTGTGATTAGTACTTAATTAAGTACTAAGTTGGATAATGTTAACTTATATTCTTTTGGCTTCACTCCAGTGTTACTGCATAATAATATTTTGCCATCTAATTCAATAATAAAATAATTCACACTCCAAAGTCTATTTTCCCCTTCTTCTGACATAATAAGTATGCACTAGTAATAAAAATAATTTTTAAAAAGTCACGGTATGGAGATATGCATGGCACTTGAAACACTGAATTTATAAATGTGTTACTATAATTTTCTAGAGTCACGGTGCACGAATTGTGCACCAGTGGGGTCCCTGGGCCTGGCCTGTGGGATTGGGCTGAAACTGGCTCTCCAACATCCCCCGAGGGTTCCTGGATTGCGAGAGGGAGCAGGCCAGGCCGAGGGACACCACCGGTGCATGATCCAGGCCTGGAAGGGATGCAGGTTGGCCAGCAGGGGAGAGACAGCGGGAGGGCTCCAGAGCATGTCCGGCCCATCTCGCTCAGTCCCAATCTGCCAGATCCAGCAGCAAGCTAACCTACCAGTCAGAGTGTCTGCCTCCTGGTGGTCAGTGCACATCATAGTGAGCAGTTGAGCAGCTTTAGCATATCATTAGCATATTACGCTTTGATTGGTTGAATGGACGACCGGACACTTAGCATGTTATGATAGTAAGTGCTGAGCAGGAGAGTGAAGAATGGAAGTGTCACATGTGGTCACTGTCAGGACTACTCAAGTCAGTTGTTGCAGTTTAAAAACAGTCAGAGACAACATGTAAATAAATATTTTTATGCTCCAAGAAACATATTTATAAACAATGAAATTTAAACTTCCTGTAATTTCCAAGTGCCAAAAATATTATCCCTCTTTGATTTTTTTCAATCATTTAAATTCATAAAAATATTCTTAGTTCATGGTTCATACACAAACAGGCTGCAGGGTAGACCTGGTGTATGGTTGGTAGTCTGCAAAACTCCTACTGTAGGAAGTGAGAAACTAGTCAATTATTTTTGACCATGTGGATCATTTTCAGATGATCAGTCACCAGTATATAGCATGGACTAGAAAAGGACATAAAGCAGAGAGATAAGTCAGTGTAGTAGTTAAGAGTACAGTAAATGGAATCTGAGCACCTAAGTTTAAATTCCTTCTCTTTAATATACACTGTCTATATATAACTTTGGATAAAACTTATTTTCTCAGAGCCTCAATATACTTATCTACTATAAAGTATAATTATATCTACTTTGAAGTGTTGACTTAAAGGTTAAAGGAGATGATCCACATAAACTAGTTATAAAAGTACTTATGTAGGAGCTGCTCAATAAATATTTAACTATTTACATTACTGCTAATTCAAATTTGGTAGTGATGATAGTCCAAGAGATGACAGTGACAAAACATAAACTAAAAAGGTAAAGTTAACCAAATTAAAAAAAAATAGAAAAAAGAAATGCAGAAATAGATCCAAATGCAAATGAGAATTCAGTATGACATAAACGCAAAGTTTACCATTTTTATGAGACATCTTTGGGAATAGAGGGAAGAACTTGTATAAATTTGGGAGTACTGTGTGAATATAGATAAAAGCTTTAAAAATCTGAATTAAATAGACTTCAAGGACAAAATAGGAGTTAGAAGAATAAAAAGAAAAGGATATGGGCACTACATTTAAAATGAGAGGAAGTAGAAGAATCAAGAAAGAAGATATAATAAAGTAATCTGAATAGAAGATCTGGTTCAGCAATTTCTATCACAGAAGATAAACACTAATGGGTATAAAGACTGAAAGGAAGTCACCTAAGAGAATCAAGTTTAATGCAATGTAATAATTTCATAAGAAAACACTGTTAAAGTTGAAAAACCTACTTACTGACACAGCTATCATTGTACTATCTGGCCTCCATTCAGCTTGCTTGTAGGATCCAAACTGAGAAGATGATTTTGCAGGCTCCTTGTAGGTTACGATTAACACACTAGGCTGGAAGAAGAGAGTTGTGTTTTATTAATGTTTTATAAGAATATATATAAACAAATTTAAGAAAATTTATCATGAAGTACTCAAAATATTTTAATGATTCTAAAAGTATAAGACATAACAATCAAATACTAAATCATTAATTACCTAAAATTAGTCCAAGAAAATCAACTAAAAATAACCAAAAAGAAAGGTAATCTAAATAGGCCTATATTTATTAAAGAAATTGAATCTCTAATTAATAATCATAAAAAAATAAAAAACAGAAATAGGCCCAGATGTGCTTACTGGTGAATTCTACCAAATACTTAAGGAAGAAATTTAAGGCACAAATTCTCCACAATATCTTCCAGAAGACCGAAGCAGAGAGAATACTTCCTAACTCTTTCTACAAGGACAGCATCACCCTAATACTGAAACCTGACAAAACCATTACAAGAATGGAAAACAACAGTCCAATATCACTCATGAACACAGCTGCAAAAATTCTTAACAAAATATTATCAACTCTAATCCAACACTGTATAAGAAGAATTATAAAATACAAACAAGTGGGATTTATTCCAGGTATGCAAGGCTGAATCAACATTTGAATATCAATTAGTGTAACCCATCACAACGAGATAATGGAGAAGCAAAATACCCCAAAATGGCCAATTCAATGTTGAAGGAAAAGAACTAAGTCGGAGGGCTGACATTATCCAACTTCAAGACTTACTATCCTAATATATAAAGAGCCAGGGTCCGTCACGACCTAAATGACTGGACGGACGACTGAACAGCAGGCTAGGGTCCCAGCCAGAGTGGCGAGAGTTAGTACTGGGTCCCGGCCACCCATGGTGCGGCGGTGGGAGGGAGCTGTGGGAACTGAGCCATGCTGTCATCGACGGGCCTCTGGGTCCCTCCCCCAGCCCGGAGGCTCCGGAGAACCAGAGCCATACTTCCATCGGACTGGACTCTTGGTCCCTACCCCAGCCCGCAGGCTCCCGGAAGCGGAGCCATGCTGCCATTGGACTGGCCTCTTGGTCCCTCCCCCCCGGCCCGCAGAACCAGAGCCATGCTGCGATGGGACTGAACCCTACCCGAGGGGTCCCAGATTGTGAGAGCCTCAAGGCCAGTGGTTCTCAACCTTCCTAATGCCACGACCCTTTAATACAGTTCCTCATGTTGTGGTGACCCCCAACCATACAATTATTTTTGTTGCTACTTCATAACTGTAATTTTGCTACTGTTATGAATCATAATGTAAATATCTGATATGCAGGATGTATTTTCATTGTTAGAAATTGAACATAATTAAAGCATAGTGATTAATCACAAAAACAATATGTAATTATATATGTGTTTTCCGATGGTCTTAGGCGACCCCTGTGAAAGGGTCGTTCGATCCCCAAAGGGGTTGCGACCCACAGGTTGAGAACCGCTGCTCTAGTCTATAATAATAAAAGCATAATATGCTAATTAGACCAGACATCCTTCTGGACGAAGCCAGGGCTGTGAGGGAAGCTCAGGTCCCGGGTGCCTGCTGGTGGCCGGAGGGAAGCCTGGGTCCCCGGTGCCGGAGGGATGCCGGTGCTGGCAGCCAGGGGAAGGAAGGCCTACTCTTGCATGAATTTCATGCATCAGACCTCCAGTAAAGATATACTGGCAAAAAAAAAAAAAAAAAAAAGAAAGAAAAAGAAAATATAGCAATCGAACAGAATAGAGAGTCCAGAAATAGACCCATATAAATATAGTCAAGTGACTTTTAATAAAAGAACAAAGATAACACAATAGAAATTGGATGATCATTTCAACAATGGTGTTGGAATAACTGGACACCCACTTTCTGCACACAAGAAGGTTCCACAGGGTTATCTTGTACTTTCTCTGCTCTTGCATTAGAATTAGCCATTTTTTTCCAGGCAATCCTGTTTCTCTTTTTTTCTGTTAATTCTCACCCAAGGATACTTTCTCCATTGACTTTTAGAGAGAGTGGAAGTGAGGGAGGGAGAGAAAGAAACATTGATGTATGAGGGACACATAGATTGGTTGCCTTCCACAGGTGCCCTGACCAGGAGTAGGGATTGAACCTGCAACTCAGGTATGCGCCCTTAACCCAGAATCAAACCACTGAACAACACCGGCCAGGGCTCCTCTTTCTTTTTATTAGAGAACTAGGGGCCCAGTGCACGAAGATTCATGCACTGGGGGTGGGTCCCTCAACCCGACCTGCACCCTCTCCAATCTGGGAGCCCTCAGGGGAGCCCTCTCCAATCCGGGAGTTTGTCTGTCCCTGCAATCATATGAACAAATTGTCTGAGATCCCAACCCAGTTTGGTTTGTTGCTCACAGAATAATAGAGGCTTCTTTTTTTTTCTTTGCTTCATTGGTGGAGATTTCCTGGAAATTTTAAGATATTTTCCCTTTAATTTTTCCTAGACACTCTGACTTTACTTACATCTCTCACCTTTGCTTTCCCTCCATCCCCCACCGCAATAGTAACTTGCTCCAGGCTCACTCTGCTCTAGTGTCTAGGACAGTGGTTCTCAACCTTCTGGCCCTTTAAATACAGTTCCTCAAGTTGTGACCCAACCATAAAATTATTTTCGTTGCTACTTCATAACTGTAATGTTGCTACTGTTATGAACTGTAATGTAAATATTTGATATGCAGGATGGTCTTAGGCGACCTCTGTGAAAGGGTTGTTCGGCCGCCAAAGGGGTCATGACCCACAGGTTGAGAGCCACTGGTCTAGGAGATCCGTCTGCCACCAGAACGTTTCCCAGCATTCCTGGTGTTCCCGCGGTCTGGGCTTCCGCTTCAGGTCCTGGGGATGCCACCAGAACTATTATTCCCAGAATTCCTGATGCTCCACGCGCTCTTGGTTTTCCCTTCCTGCTCTGTCTCGGTCCCATGGCCTCCCACTCTGCCAAGTCCTCCACGCCGCCAGCTCTCCTTCTCTGCTCTCCATCTGGTGGCTTGGGGAGCCAAGTTCCCCAAGCCACTCCACTCTCTGCTGGCTCTCCTGCTCTGCTCTCTTCCTGGTGGCTTGGGGGAGCGACCGAGGGAGCCATGTCCCCCATGCTGCCGGCTCTCCCGCTCTGCTCTCCACCAGGCACCTGTGCATGCAAATTAACCCACCATCTTTGTTGGGTTAATTTGCATACTCACTCCTGATTGGTTAGTGAGCGTATCAGAGGGACGGCCAATTTACATGTTTCTCTTTTATTATATAGGATTGTATTTAGAAAACAAGATCTGGAAACAAGATACTTGTTGCTAGTGAAATGTCTTCTAGGTCAGTGATGGTGAACCTTTTGAGCTCGGCGTGTCAGCATTTAGAAAAACCCTAACTAACTCTGGTGCCGTGTCACATACAGAAATTTGTTGATATTTGCAACCATAGTAGAACAAAGACTTATATTTTTGATATTTATTTTATATATTTAAATGCCATTTAACAAAGAAAAGTCAACCAAAAAAATGAGTTCGCGTGTCACCTCTGACACGTGTGTCATAGGTTCGCCATCACTGTTCTAGGTCCTCTCAGAAAACACATTGTAAAATACATGTACCTATACTATCCCATATATACATATATACTTCTTTATATTTCTCTATATATATACAGTATATGCATGTTGTTATACACAGAAATACATGTGATTATAATCAAGCACAAGGTGGTTCACGCCAGCCTTCTCCCTTACTTACTTTTAACTTTTTTAAGACAGGGAGAAACCTGGCTATTATTTCGTACAATTAATTTAGTTCTTTGGAGTCATGCCTAGGGAGGGAAAATGGCGGAGGTATAAACGGACGTGTCTGGTGCCTTGTCCTGGAGCAGATAAGGGTGAGCAGCTGAAACGGGTAACATGCAGCCCAAATAGGCAGAGGATTTTCAGCTGAGAGACTGTCTGCAGCTAGGAAAGACCGAGAACCCCCAGGAAAAAAAAGACGGTTGGAGACTGCGGCTGAAGCCCCTCCTGGTGCGCCAGCTAAGCAGCGGAGACTGCGCCATCTTGGGTGGTTGTTGCCGGCATCCAGAGACCAGCTACTAACCTGGAAACAAGGGATCTCAAGCAGTGTGACTGCGTGAACTCAGACGAGCACTGCTTCTTCTCACGGAAAGCGCAGCAGAGAGAGAACTACATAACCAAACACCTTGAGAAGAGAAATCATGGTGAAACAAAGAACCAACCCAAATATGAAAGAAAAACAGGCATCATCAGAAAAGGAAGTAAACGAAATGGAGGCAATGGAGGCAAGCAACCTGTCAGAGAAAGAATTCAGAGTAATAGCCAGAAGGTGGATGAAAAGAATGGAAGACCAATTCAACAATATGTGTAGGAACCAAGAGGAAATGAAGAAGAACCAAGAGGAAATGAAGAGAAACCAAGAAGAAATGAAAAACGACATCACTGCCATAAAGAACTCAATAGAAAGCATCAACAGTAGACTAGAAGAAGCAGAGGACCGCATCAGCGAGCTAGAAGACAAGGTAGAAAAAAATACCCAAACAGAACAGCTTCTAGAAAAAAAAATTAAAAAGCAGGAGGAGAGCCTAAGAGAACTCTGGGACAATGCTAAACGAAACAACATCTGAATAATAGGGGTGCCAGAAGGAGAGGAGACTGAGCAAGGAATAGACAACCTGTTTGAAAAAATAGTAACAGAAAATTTCCCTGATATAGTGAGGAAAAAACTCACACAAATCCAAGAAGCTCACAGAGTCCCAAACAAAATGAACCCGAAAAGACCGACACCAAGGCACATAATAATTAAATTGGCAAACACCAACGACAAAGCAAGAATCTTAAAAGCAGCCAGAGAGAGACAGAAAGTTACCTACAAAGGATCCCCCATCAGACTAGCGACCGATTTCTCAACAGAAACACATCAGGCAAGAAGGGAATGGAATGAAATATACAAAGTCATGCAAAGGAAGGGTCTGAATCCAATAATACTATACCCAGCAAGGCTATCAATCAAAATTGAGGGTCAAATCAGGAGCTTCACAG